ATTATTGTTCTAAAGTACAGGTTTTCTGACATGCAAAATATGGTGTGAAAAATATGTAATCATTGAGAGAAAAGACATAAGCTATAACCACACATCAAATGTTGAAAGTACGTTTTGCTTCATATTAGCACATGTTAAAATTATGAACAGTTGGAAATAATATTCTAGTTGCACCACATTATCACAATCATAAATTGGGTATAATTGGGAGAACAGATGTTCACCAGTGTCAGAAGGAGGTGACTCAGGAAAAAAAAAAGTGTGAAAAGAAAATTTGAGGAATTAGAAGTATAAACTCTTTCTGGCTTTGATTTACTATGGAGTCAGCTTACTTGATGGCAGATTCATTATCAACTATTTTGTCATTTGTTCCAAACGTGTAACAGAAAAGCTAGAAATCATAGTGGTTTAGTTTCAACTGGTAAAACATTACCTAAAAAAGTTACATAGTCTTTCAACTAATGATAAATTTGCGTCATGTTTATCCCGAGAATCATTAAACCACTCCCACTCTAGTACCCAAAACTGAAAGAAAGAGAAAAAACAGTAGGGCTTTCTCTTGCCAGGACTCTGATTGGCAGAAGAACATGGAGGCTACAGGGAACGACTAGATTCTCCCGAGGCAGGGACAGTTAGTCAAGTCTCAGGGCTCTCAGTCACTAGAAATAAACAAGTAAGTCTCTCAGTAGGTGGGAAGAAGCAGAAAACTAAAGGGTAGAGCAAGAAGAAGAGTTAAGAATCGAGCAAACTGTTAGATTCTCAGGGAAGACAGAAGTAAGAAGCAGACCAGAGGGGGGAGAAAAGCATTGTAGCTGATGTCATATAACACAGACCGGATCGTTGTCCCTCCCTTTGAGATCCTTGGGCATCTTCTCACTGCTCACACAGTGGAGTCCAGATCCCTTAGTGATGTTCAGGGTCCTACTTGATCTAGTCTCAACCTTCCTTTCTAACCTGATTTGTTCCATCTCTCTTATAACGACAAACAGGCACAGTACTCATCACAGTGTCCAAAATTACACCTCACACTTTTATGCCTTTATGTTCTAGTATCATGAATTTAGAGTAAATTTCATTTCTCTTTTTTAGTTATGTATATGTAATGCTAAACAATACATGATATTGTTTTGTGTGTTTTTTTAAGCTTGACCTAAAGAGTAAACTCTATATTCATCTTGCTCAAAGCATTCTTTAAAATATGAAGTGCTACTTTTAGCCTTTTAATCTACATGTGTAAGTTGTTTAATTTAAAGTTATTATTAAGGTATAGCTTTGGGGTAATGATGGGAGCAGGATGGAAGACTTCACTAGTTGAGAAAATTCTGGTGTAAGATTTAGAGAGTTTCTGTGTGCAGACTCAGTCCTAGCAGAAGGCTCATGTAGCACTAATCTTTGGTCTTGTTAGCTCTGTGGTCATTGGCGACTTGTAAATACTGTTTGTGTGACAATATATAGTAAAACTCATGCATTTATATTCAGTGTGTATCTAGATAAACATATATGTGGATGTGTTGTTAAAATGTGTTGTTAAATTTAGACCATTGTGATAGTATTCAAATGTGTAGTTAAAATTACACAGTTGTAGTAATGTGCATTTAGTAAATAGTATTTTCCAGGTATCTCTCTTGGTTTATTTGGAGAAAGGCATAGTGCTTTTTATGAATTCAAAGGGGCATTACCTTTCTATTTTGACCCAATAAAACCCTCTTATTTTCTCAAGGAGATGCTTGAGCTATACTTACTTCAGTGTTTTATAATAACGTTTTTATCTACTTCTGTTTCCTCTTATTAGACTGTGAGCTCCTTGAAGACAAGGGAGTATATTGTATTTATATCTGAGTTTTCAATATTATCATGGGCCAATTAGTCACTGTTTTCTGTCAGAGTAGTCAATTTCGTTCATGAGAAATGGAAGAAAATAATAGTTATCAGATTTACCTGTCTCCTGAAGCTATAAGGGATGCATGATAATTTGATCCAGAATTGACAGAATTTTAATAACTGTATCAATCAGTTTGAACAACTAGATGAAAAGTAAATGCGAAGTACTGATATTACTTAATTCCCCAAAGAACTACTTAGGAACAGATTATACATACCTTTTGAAATAAACTCCAGAATCAGTAAATGATTCTGGAGTTTATTTGGAAGTGAATTCCATTGAGATGGGTCTAAGAAACAGGCTCGGGTTCTAAAACGCAATTGTCAGTACTATATTCAGGACCATATATTGGTAAAGAATTGGTGAATTGGATTGCCATCTATCAATTCAGGCAGTTTCCAGTTTAGAAACAGTTTACTTTCCAAATATACTTAGTTGATCGTAACTTGGAGTACATTTTCCCTATAAAAAGAACGGTATAAATCATTTCCATATTATCACTCTGATTTTGATACAATTGAATGTGAGTTTTTTACAGTATTTTTATGGAGAGTAAGTAAATGATTCCTAGAATTTTTTTCAGAGTATATTAAAATCATAATAGGAGAGAAAGTATAGAGTATACAGTCCAGTATATAGATATTCTTTTAGCTTTTAGTTTTTGCTAGTAAAATAATATCCAGAGAGCACATTGAAATTTTCTATCATTGATTATTTATTTATAGAAAGTACTTTCCCCATTAATCTCATTACTTCAGAAAACACTAAGTAGTGTGTTTATCTTGGAAATCTACTGAGCAATTCCCAGAGGTAAAGCCAGACTTACCTCTGAAATATTCACTTCGATAATGATTTGAATTATAATGGTCATTAAAGTTCATCTGAAACACGTTTTAGAGCCTTATTTCTAGAATCAATGAAGTTTCTAAATGTTTATTGTATTTAGCTCATTTTCTTTCTCTTTGCTCTAACCATATAAATGTGTATTTGAGGGAGGCCTTAAACGACAGGAATTGAAATGATAGCAGTCATAAGTTTCATTTCTCAAATAGTTTATGCCAGACACTTCCTATGTGCTTTAAAGTGTTACGCAAGCAACATTCCTCGGAGGCTAGAATTACTATCTCTGTTTTATATATGAGGAGACTGAAGCCAGAGGTTAAAGTATTTGCACGGAGTCACATAGTAAGGTGCTTAGCTGGGAGTTAGAACCAGATTTATCTTGTCTCCAATGCCCTTGATCTCTGTCCTACACCATACTGTCCCAATGAAAGGAAGACTTCAACATTTTCAAAAGCTGTATATTTTGAAAAATAAAGAACTTGGGTTGCAAATATTATAGGTATTTGTTTTGGGGTATCAGAACAATACGATCACTCCTGCGTAGAGTGATCAGAGAAGATACATGAGAGTAGTGGAATGTGAACAACTCAAACTTAAATAGAATATTAAATAAATAAAAACTTGGATTTGGAGCCATCAGAGGCCCTACGAAAATCAAATTTCCAGATTCTGTCTCTTCCCAATTCTGTTTTATGGGGAACTTCCTTGTTAAATAGAGAATGAATTCTAGGCTGACCTGGGAAGAAGGGTTAAAGCAGAACATGTCTCACCTGGGAAATCTCCTGTTTCAGTAGCACCAGTGAAATGGGGAACTAAGCCTCATTAATTCAATAAAAAGCGCTTCAATAACTGTATCCCAGGCATTGGAGAAAGAGATAAGCAAGACAGGAAGTACAGAAGTAAATTAGGAGTAGTGTGGTGAGATAAATATGGGATGTGGTGGAAACTGAAAGGAAGGCTACTTTACTCCTCATCTACTGAATCATAAAAAGGCTTCTCAGAGGAGGTAACACTTGTTGAGAGTTTGAAGGATAAAGAGGAGTTAGCCAGGTTAACAAGGGGGAGCTGAGCACTGAAGGAAGAAAAACCAGCATGTACAGATAAAACTGAAGAGCAGTTCTTCCTAATGAGTTTGGGGTACCTTTGTTATGGTTTGCGTCAGTACCTTGAAGGCAGTTGACTACCTTGTGATATCTTGAAATATTACACCCTGTCATTGGGGTTGTATATATGTTCATAGGGAAAGCCTATTGAAGTTTTCTCTGCTCATAGAATATTGCAGCTGGCAGCATCCTCAGATTGTCTAGTCATTTCATATTTTCATTCAACAATAACATTTACTGGGTGCTAGTCACAGAGGACACAGAAATGAAAGATGGACCTTGCCTTCAAGGAGCTCGCAGTCTCAGGGAGGAAACAGACAGGTATACAAGTATGACAAGGTGCTATAATAAGAAGTGAATACTAGTTAAACACAAAGGAAGGCTCATTCATTTTTCTTGAAGATTAGCTAGATAAAGTCTTGAGTAGATCTTGAAGAATCTTAAAGACGTTCATTTGTGAAAGGAAGAAAGGATATTTCAGGTCAGGACTGTGCTGGTTAAAAAGAACAGTTTAAAACATTTCTACTTATGCCTTTCAGTCCTGACTTCTTTAAACAAAGATTATCTAAAATAATGAAGCAGTGTCATGGATTTTCTTGGTTATATCTTAATCACGTAACCTAGCCTCACCAGTGGTTCTCAGTGTGTGGTCCTGGGACCAGCAACATCAGCATCTTCTGGAAACTTAGAAATGCAACTTTTCGGGCTCCAGCCCAGACCCACTGGATTGGAGACTCTGATGGTGAGGCCTAGCAATGAGTGTCTCACCAAGCCTTACAGAGAGTTCTGATGCCTACTCAAGTTTGAGAACCAGTGGCCTAAACTGTGGTAGTTCATGGAATAGTTGAGAGTTCATGGGCTTTGAGGACAGACACCTGGGTTTGAATCTCACCTGTCCCACTTAACAGGTATGTAACTGCCAATCTATCACCTAACGTCCGTGAGCTTTGGGATTTTCATCTATTAAATGAAGATAGGAATACTTCCATTCAGGGTTGTTGTGAAGATATAATTTAAATAAAGTGCCAGCACTGTGGCTTGCACACGGTAGGCTTTCAATAAATGATAACTACTGCTATTGATATTGGTTTGGTTTTTTTTAGATATTTTCTCCAGTGAAGTGATTGCTTTCACTTACTGAATGAAAACATAACTTATATTTTTTCTTTTAGATCCAAATGCTCAAGAAATTAAGGACATCTATGGACTCCGTGGTCAAGTAGAACACAAACTAGCTTTCCTGAGAACTCATGTGCCAAAGGAAATGAAACTTGTGGTCATTGGCCATTCCATAGGCTGCTATTTCTCCCTTCAGGTCCTGAAGCATGCCCCTGAGCTCCCAGTAAGTACGCCTCAGGAGGTGACTGTCGGTGCTTGATTGTGCACTCGCACAAATCCTCTCAGATTTCCTTTGCTTTTTTGTCTCGTATCGAATTGATAAATAAAACACAGAGAGGGATACTTGGTAGCTGCCTTTATCCTTATCTCTGTATTACTGTGGGCCTGTGTGAGTGTATGTTCATACATTTCCCATAATGTTTCAAAAAATAATGCTGAAGGAGGAAGGAATTTTCTGAATAAATGCCTCTTCTTTTTAAATTGAATTAGTTAATTTACAGTATTGTATTTGAACAAATGCTTTTTCATCTAGGGTTATATCTGGAGTTCTTAAGTTACATACAACTTGCTGTCTTTGGTAAAGGAATATTTCTTTTTTTAATATTTATTTATTTATTTTTTGGCTGTATTGGGTCTTAGTTGCAGCATGCAGGCTCTTCGTTGCAGTGTGCGGGCTTCTCTCTAGTTGTGGCACGTGGGCTTATTTGCTCCGCAGCATGTGGGCTCTTAGCTCCCTGATTAGGGATCAGACCAGCGTCCCCTGCATTGCAAGATGGATTCTCAACCACTGGGCCAGCAGGGAATATTTAAAAGCAGTCACCAACTAAGGCTGAGGCAATAATCTTGTCTAGGGAGAGTATTATGCAAATATTCATGCCTCCTCTCAAAAGGAAGAAAAATTATTATTATCACCATTGTTGATAGGCAAATAGTTATTCTTAAGGAACATTAAATCTTTATTTAGTCATAAGTCTGAATCCTTATCTGTTCTATAGCTTGGCAGCCTTTTTGAGACATTTATTCATTCATTCATTCACAAATACTTACTGGGTGCCACTATGTGCCAGATATTAAGTGAGACACTGGAGATATAAAGACCTATTTAAGGGGCTTCCCTGGTGGTGCAGTGGTTGAGAGTCTGCCTGCCGATGCAGGGGACACGGGTTCGTGCCCCGGTCCGGGAAGATCCCACATGCCGCAGAGCGGCTGGGCCTGTGAGCCATGGCCGCTGGGCCTGTGACCCAAAAAAAAAAAAAAAAAAAGACCGATTTAAAATGCCAGGAAAGCTAGTGAACTATATAACACTTCAAAACAAAACAAAACCTCATACTTTCACTGACATATACCATTGAAATGACCCATTAAATGAATGTGATTCACAACATAAATTATTTCTTCATTCAACAAACTTACATTAAGCACTTGCCATGTATCAGGCCTTGTGCTCTGTTTTGAAGACATCCCAGTGAATAAAATAGTCTTTGAGGTAAGAGAGCCTGAAGTCTAAGGGAGGACACAGACTAACCCATAGGTGTGATACCTACTTCTTGTGTAAATAGAGGGTGTGTGAGATCATGAAGGAGTGCTACTTAACCTGGTAATCTGAATACAAGATAGGAAGTGATTCCTTCCTGGAATCTCCTTGTCCTAGGATATTGACTTTTCTCACTCCATGTGGTCAAATATCTTCAGTGGAGTCTTGGAGCTCACTAGGAATTTGCTTCTTTCCCTGCCAGCTTGACACACTTACTTCTTACTTATAATTAATTGCCTTTGGGAAAAGTACAACTATAGCCTCCTTGGGTGTGGTTTTTAATACCAAATGGAGGCTGTTAATTTCTTACATTGGGTATCAGAAAGTATATTTTTCATTTCTAAGTGTGAATTCAATAAATTCTAGGTTGCATTCCATTCACTATATTATTGCTTCTACTCTGGTTTTTTTCCCCCTAGATAAGGCATCTTAATAAGAAAACGGGCTTTCCTTTTGTTTTTAGCATTTTGCATGGCTTCTAATCTCTGTTGTGCCTCTAAAGCTCCTCTGGTACCACGTTATGAGGTTACTGTTTTCATAGTGCCCAGTCTTAGCCCTTAGCGGTTCTCTTTGCACAGTTGCCGCAAGTCCTCACTCTAGAAACAAGACACCTACGTTCAGATACTTGCTGTCATATTTTGTCTTGGTGACCTTGGGCAAGTTATTGAGTCTCTGTACCTTTGTTTCCTCATCTGTAAAAGGGGGATAGTAATATGTTATTCAAAGGATTTTTGTGAGGAATTATATAAAGAATTAAGAATGGTGCCTAGAACTTAAAAGTTCCATATAAGTATTAGCTATTATTATTATAATGGAAATGACTGAAAGCACTGGCTCAGTAATTAGGTTAACTACTGTGTTAGTAATCTACAGCTGTGTAACAAGTTACCTCAAAACTTAACAGCATAAAACAATACACATTTATTCTCTCACAGTTTCTGTGGACATGGGACTGGTCACAACTTAGCTAGGTTCTGTGGTTCAGGGTATCTCACAAGATCGTAATCAAAATGTCTTCCAGGGCTGTGGTCTCATGTGAAGATATGAATTGAGGAGGATCTGCCTCAATTCACTCCCTCAAGGGTTGTTGGACGGAGGGCCTTGGTTCATCACTGGCAGTTGGGTGGAGGCCACCCTCAGTTCCTTAGAATGTGGGCCTTTCTAACTCGCCCCATGAGAGCAAGTCTGGGAGAAGAGCCAGAGAAAGAGTCTGCTGGCAAGATGGAAGTCACAGACTGTAACCCAATTACAGAAATGATATCTCATTACTTTTACAGTATTCTCTTTGTTAGAAACAAATCACTGGCTCCAGCCCAAACTAAAGGGGAGGGAATTACACTAGAGCATGAATATTAGAAGGTGAGGATCACTGGGGGCCATGTCAGAGGCTGCCTACCCCATCACTACTACAGTTAGGACTTCACTTGTGTGATGTACCATCAAGCATGTAGATATATAGGTATATATCAGTATATAAGTTAAAATACTGAATTTATTTCCTGGTGTAGGAAGTAACTTGGTCCTGTCAAATAAAATGTTGCAAACTGATATGACATATAATTGTTGGCTATTAGTTGTTCCAGGTATTTTAAAAAGAGTACTTACATGTTTGAAATAATAATAACATTATTATTTGTGATGGTTAATTTTACATGTCAAGTTGATTGGGCTAAGGGATACTCAGATAGCTGGTAAAACATTTCTGAGTGTGTCTGTGAGGACTTTTCTGGAGGAAATTAGCATTTGAATTGGACTGAGTAAAAAAGATCTGCCCTCACCATTGTGGGCGGGCATCATCCAATCTGTTGACGGCCCAAATAGAACAAAAACTCCCAGGAAGGGCAAATTCTTTCTCTCTTCTTGAGCTGAGTCAGCCATCTTTTCATGCCCTCTGACAGTGGAGTTCCAGGTTCTCAAGCCTTCGGCATCATCTGTTCCCCTGGTTCTCAGGTCTTCGAACTCGGACTGAATTATACAACTGGCTTTCCTGGTTCCCATCTTGCAGATGGCGTGTTGTGTGGGACTTCTTGGCCTCTATAATTGTGTGAGCCAATTACTATAGTAAATGTTCTTTTATCTATATCCATATATATAGTCTGTTTCTCTTGAGAACCTGACAAATACACTACCCTAAACATAGGGAAGAAAGTAACCATTTCTGAGTCCTTCAGTTTGTTAACTTAATCAGAGATCTTTCCTTTTGGTTTTTGTTTGTTTGCTCCACATCCATTCTGCATGTAGTGTATAATTTCTCTTATGCATATTTGAAAACAGTTGTTCAACACATTTGTTTTGAACCCATCTCTCTTTTTTGGCTTGCGTTCACAGTGTCTGTTGGGAAAGAAGTACAATGCATCTTAAGGTTAATGTAGCTTCTTATAGTTTCCTCAGCTCTATAACTTTCTAATTAAGGCTCTGCTTTCAGGTGTTCTTACCCTTGCAGGAATAGTGGTGAAAAGGAAAAAGGCAGATGAAACATGAGCTTAACCTAGTCTAATTGTGAAGACATAAGTCATACTGTGATTATAGAGTTTTCAGAGACATGAGAAAGTGTGTTTTCTTAAAAAGGGTGAACTCTAGAAAATAACGCATATAATAAATTGTCCACAAAGGTTACCAGGGGAGGAGGGTGAACATCTGTATGATTTTTTTATTATTCAAAAGCTTTATCTGGTTTCAGTTAACTACATTATTGAAGTCCATGCCGGCGCCCCCTCCCCGCCCGGCTTAAACACCTGGCCCAGTTAATATTGGTGGTGTGACCCCTGCTGAAGTGTTGAAATTTCAGTGTCTCTGGGCTACTCTAAGATGGCACAGTGCCTGCATGCCTGAAGTTAGCATGACACACTCCATTTAAGATGCATTTGACAATCAAATAAGTTTGTATTAGCCAGAGTGTTGCAATCCCTAATCATTTTGCCAAAAATAAGTTAGCTGTTACGTTTTACAACATATGAAGTGTGATAAAAAGAAACTTGTGTTTCCATCTCTCTGTTATTTTTACTGGAATATTTGACTCCTATAAGATTTTAAGGACATATGTGTAGTTTAGTAGCTGGTTTATTTGGTTTTATTTTGGTTTAATTCTTTATAATATTTTTGTAACTAGTTATAGGAAACTTTGGTCTTAAAATTATTTTAAGAGACTTACTGCATATTTTAGACATAAGGTCTGACCTATTTTTTCATATTCTAAAGAAAATAATTGACTCTTAAAAATCTGGTATTAAAAATTTTATTTGTTTAAGCAAATTTGGTACATAGAATTATAGAAAGTCTTCATATATTTTGACAGTAATGTCCAGAATAAGGAACTTAAAAAAGAAACTTAAGAAAATAGATAATCAGAAGATTGTTAAATAGTACTGTCATGACTTAAAATAATAAACACAATTTCAGATTTATAGGATTTTTAGAGACAGTGTAGTCCCATCTTTAATTTTATAGGTAGAAACTGAGAGAAAAGTGCCTTGCCAGGATCCAGCCAAGGCTCTGTCTTAATCTAGGGGTGGGGTACGGTTATGTTAGCTGTGGATATAAAGACAGTCTATGAAGATATCTGATGGTTCTCTCAACCTTTGGTTGATGGCAGAGACTCCAGATAGTAAGGCGTGTTCTGGAGTGTTCACAGCTAGCTCCACGTGACTCATTACATTGCAGCTCAACGAGTAGGAGACCCCATGAATACT